TATATATATATATATATATATATATATATATAATCAGCTAAGAGCTGGGCTTGGTTCCAACTGTCTGTACCAGAAGGAGAAAGTTTTTACCAAGTAAACATGACTACAATGAACCCCAAAGGCAGAACTTGGTCAAGTTAGAGAAGGTACGCAAACTTCCCCATCAAACTAGCACAGCAGCCCTGCTCCACAGGGATGCTCCTGCTTTACACTTAGAGCATAGATTAAAAACTGTCTGAAAATGGAAAAAAAAGAGATTAGCAACCAGGGTTCAAGCACTAAAGACACAAAATTCTGTTCTGACAGCATGTGAGAATGGAGATGAGGAAAAATTGTACCAACACTCCTCAAATAATTCCCATTACTGCTAAATAACTTTTGGGGTGTTTTTGCTAAGACCAGCAATAACAGGGTGTACCTCTTAGCTCAGATGCTCTGTCTGGCACCAGTCAGATGTCCAAGAGCAGCACAGGCTCATGGCAGTGTTTCTCCAGAAGAGCATCCCAGCCATCTGGGGTCAGCTCAGCTCCAGAATTTCTTAAGCCAAAGATGGCATGGGTGTTGAGTAGCTCCTGCTGGACTGGTTTTTTCCTATGAGCTTACATAATTCCTTTCTGAACCCACATAAAACATGAACATTTTTTGATTTCCTGTGGAGCTTTTATGTGGTTTTGCTTTGAACCCATTCCTAATCTGATGTGCTGATCCCATCCCGTACTGGAAAAAGCAGCAAACTAGTCCTTTTCATTTTTGTGCCACTCAGCTTCAGAGAGGCTCAGTGTACCCAGACCCTTTTTTCCAGTCAAAGGCTCTTTTTTGTACTATTGCTTCCATTTGAGATATTCCCCAGAAAGCAGGGTTCTAGGACAGAAACTAACCTAAATTCCTCCCAGTGAAGATGAACACAAAGGCAGTCACTTTTTTTTTTTTCCCCTTATGGATTTATCTTCTACAAGTGCTTTTTATATACCTTGATCTGCTACTGACCCTGAAAGACTTTCTGTCTGATATACTCAGAAAATGAATAAACAGGATTTTATGCTTTTGCAAGTTGTTCCTCAAGCTGTCTTATTGGTCCTGTCTTATGGGGGGTTTACTTTCAGCCTGGCAGGATTTACATTCTTTTTTTGCCCCACTTTCCTCATTCAGACAATTTCAACTACTTGAAAGATGTCTTCTTATTTTTAACATTCTCTTTCACCTCCCCATTCAAGCATGGCAGCTTTTTTCTTTCTACAAGTCTGATATCCTGTTTG